CTCTCTCTCTCTCTCTCTCTCTCTCTCTCTCTCTCTCTCTGCGTGCAAATAATTCCTTTATGTGTGTGTGTGTGTGTGTTTCTATGTGAACGCATATTTTTATATTATATATTTCGAGCGACACACAGCGATATATACTTCATATTAAGCGATAAAGTAGTAGCGCACAAACGGAATTAATTATAACATTTGTATTATTTAAATTTTTTTAATTTTAGAGTGAGAAAATGTTTACGTAATACTTTTGTATTTTTATGTCACACCATTTTTATATTTTTTTTTACTAAATTTTATTTTATTTTACATATAAATTTTTAAACTTATGATGCTCTATCCACTAGCAAAAAAATGCTTAACCGTCGGTTGTATGCATAATGCGACTTTGCGTTGCATTACGAGGAAAATAATTTAATTTTCAATCAACTGAATTTCTATGATAGTGATGTGACCGACCAAACCATATGCACAATCAAATCCTGCAGAAATAATAGTATTAATTGAGATAAAATATTAATATACTATAAAATATAATAATATTAACATAAAATTGAATTAATTAAGATAAGAGTTTTGTCAAGTAAATATAGTTGTTAGCGAGCTAGCTATTGATTATTTAGCCGCAATACGTCATAACATGCATTTTATTCCAAAATTAGAATGCGCGATCAAAGTGCACGTGAAATAACTTTTATTGTAATATAGTTTTTATCGTAATATATAATGCCAGTTTTACAAGTCCATTCAATACGTAACAATTAAACGTATTCAGTAATATGAAATGTATTTACATTTCTACGTTTTATTACAACGTTTTTTTTATAAACAATTTGAAGCAATGTTGTTTTAAATTTCTTTTTGATTAATAATGTGGAAAGATATTTCTGGAATGACAGCATTTATCAAAAAATAATAAATTGCACTTGTTTTTTATTACGTAGAAATGATTTTTCCGTGTCAAGCAGAAATGAAAAAGCTAAAGTACAAGTAATTAATTCTGTTTATAGGAAGAATTCGAACTACAGAGCAGCGAACGTCAACGTCACGAACGTGCTGGGAATTCCGTGCTAAACGCGATGGCTCGTACAAAGAAGGACGTTACAAAGCCCTTTCGCATCGTAATCGGGATAGTTCGTTTGTAAAGAAAAAGTCCAAAGGGAAAAGACAATGCTACGAGATTACTATCCGATATTTGTCGCCCGTGGCGTCCGATTTCGATCACGCAAGTTCGAGAATCATCTTGGAATAGCGCGACACAGCGTGACGATTGAAAAAAAGCGTTTTGTCATGATTGTCGCTCGGTGCTTGATTTATCTATCGTATCGGATATGAGTATGGATATTCCTGTTCTAGCTTCTGGGAAAGAAATAATTTTTGCGCGTAACAGTATGTGTGCACTGTCTGCACCAATGAGCAACTTATTCTAAACCTTTACATCGGAATTTAACCCGCTATTGTAGTACGCCTGAATAAATCGCTAGAAGAACGTTTTAAAATCGTTTTATGTAAAAAAAGAATGTATGTTTATATGAGTGAGTATTTGAATGTGTATACATATATATATACACACAACACACACACACACACACATATAGCATTAAAACATGAAATATATATTCTTTTGATATTTCTTTAGCTCGAAATTTTACTAAAAATTGAAATCAAAGAAAACAGCGGGATTAAAACTAATTTTAATTCCAATTCCACTTTAAAAACTGAATTTAATTTTATTTAGTATTTTCTCTGGTAGAAATGTATGTAGTTAGTATAGACATTCGCCTAGTTATCTAGTATTAATATATTCTTATGAGTTATAGAAATAATACGTAGAAATTGAACGAGAACTGGATTCAATAGTTGTTGAAACAATTTACAATATGTGAATCTCTCAAAGTATTAGTAATATTAATTCAGTTTTTAGTTCAAAAGAGCTTAAAATTGCGTCAAAAATAAGTGAACGTATATAAAGTATAGATTATTAATTAATTAATTAGATTATTAATTAATCAAATAACTTTATGTTCATTTTCTATTTCATTTTCGTACAGTAAATAAGTTTAGATTTTGTGCATCTTTTGTGCGCAATAACTGCAGGAAAAGCGTTATATCTTGATCCCAAGTAATTTTACTTTTTAATTACTAGACAAAATTAATATAACTGTCCAATAATTGCTTGATAACTGCATTAAATTTCTACTAGGGTTATTTACGGAATTTTTTTAAGCTAAAAATTTGTCTGCATAACCGATAACCGGTTTATTATTATCGATTTATTAGTCTTAACCGAATTCCAATTATCGTAGATAATCAGCGTTTTATTGTGTGCATATTTATGTACTTCGTACTTGAGATTGCAATACTGTTTATTTGAGATTATCGATATGAAATAAAAATTAGAGACCAATAATATCCAAGTAAAATCCAAAACAGAACGAATTTTTACGATTCCCCCTGTTGTTCAAGCTATTGTTGTTGTATTACTCTTTACATTTGCGTGAATAATATTAAGTACCGAATTGTGACGAGGGATATACAAAAAAAATTGCGTTCTCGCATAGAATAAATAGAGGAAATGAAATTGCGTACGCTCAACGAGATTCTCTCTGTTTACTGAGGAGGAAAATATCGCACAAATATTCATTGAAGCTCGCATCAAAATTTCATGGGTAATAAATACAAAGTTCTCACATTCATTATTACGTGTAGAAATCCTTGTTTTTAATAAATTTTTAATATTAAATGTAAAGTAAAACATCATATCCAATTAATATCTCATTTCATTCTATAACTCACTTTATACAAATAAGTAGATACAGACAAGTAAAGGAATTAGCAACACATTAAACATAACGTGTAAAAATACGTGTAGCAATATCGTAAATGTACAGTTACCTTAAGGAAATATATTATTACTCGTGACTATTATTAATATACTGCTGACACTAACATCACCAGATATATAGGTAAGAACTGAACTTTTTGTACGTCACTGTCACGACAACTTAATATCCCATTAAGGAAGGCTTTCATGCACGAAGGTATGAGTTACATACCTTCGCGAAAATGTTGTCAGCAGTTTTCTTGGATTTCAGCCAAAATGTCACTATAATGTTATCAAAAGAGATATCGGAGTATCATAGCGTGTGTCACGAAATGATAATGATTAAATATTATCGTAAAAATTACATACTATTTATATATAAGTAATGAAAAAATATGCAGTGAAGAAATATTGGCTACCATACGGCCATCGTGGCAAACATACCTTAATTAGCAGTTCTCTCAACCAACAGCGAACACTCATTAAAAGTTTCTTTTTTACTTCGTTCATTGATAGAGGTGTCAATATAATAACTACTTGTTAACTTTCAGCTAACCGCATTTCGATATAATTTAATTGGTGTGGAAAACAGAATTTTTCATTTTTTCGTTACATTTGCTCTTCCTAAATCTGAGTTAAATTGTGATACTTAATGAGAAAATATTAATTAAAATCAATCGAAAATTAAAAATAAAATTTAAGTGCTCGTATAATATAATGCTCGTAATGTTAAGTATTTTTTTCGATATATATAGTTTATTTTTATTAAGTGTATTTTTTCGATAGTTCTTTTAATTTCTAATAAAATTATTGACTATTTATCCACGGACACTTTTGACAGTCGCTTTGCAATATTAAAGAATTACTTGATAATGTAGTAAGAAAGTGATAGCAATAAAGCAGATTAAGTAAGATGATTTGTTATATGATAGTGACGTCTTGAGAAGCCATTGCCATTACGAAGATTTAGGTTACAATATATCTTCGCTTTGCAAAATCTCGTAATTCTTATTATTACAGTTAAAAGCACTACATAGATCATGAAAAGAACCTACTAACTTTAGATGAAAATTTCGGAATATATGTTTATCCTACATTTTTATCTAATAAAAAAATAAATATTTTTCAATAAATAAGGGGCAATTTCTTTTTGTTATAAGATATCACGCTTTAATTGTTTAACTCACTCAAGAAACGCAGTGTAAATTTAAATCGCAAACCTACATATGCGCGATAAAAGATACGCTTAGTATTTTGCTATTATTGAAAGTTAAATAGGTTTACAATTTTCCTCGAGAGAAGACTAGAAACACTCTGCCGTGTGTTTGCCGCAACCGACAAATGTAATGACGATGTCGTTCCTAGTTTTTTGGTGGGAATTAATCGAATTGCGAACGAACCTTCACAGTATGAATCTCGACGCAATGGTGAAGATTCCGCTACATTAGTAAGTAGAAGAATGATTCGGGAGCGCTCGTTCCGAGAATACGACGATTTGAGAATGAAAATTCGCGTCCGATGATCGTAATGGATGACTGCGAGCCGTTTAGATGAGCATCAAATCGCTAATAAATGCGAACTTTATTTCAATCCTCTTTGCATAAGAAGCGGTCAGGGTCGTTGTCCACTCACGTAGATAAAATGTCTGTGCTCTATTCTTCGGTCTCCTATCTGTGCCGTTCCAGAAAATGCAGGATCGAGTTAGATACTCTTTTCTCCTTCGTCGTTCTCTCATTCTCTTACTTTCGACGTATCCTTCTTTTGCGTTCCTCTCTTGACACCAAAGTGCGGACTCTTCGAGCCATTCTGCAGTCGATATGTACTGCTTCGCTTATCCGATTCATTTCTTCACTAAATTTCTATACACACAAATTAATGTTTGCTATTTTTGCAAGTTTTATAGCCTCAGTAATGCTATTTTGGCTTGTCTGCGTTATCTCTCGCTGACAACATGAAGCAGTGTGTAAATATTCAGAGTTTTCATATGTCTCAGTCTTATAATTATTAATTTAATCTAGAACGAGAGTTAGTGTGCCTTTTGCACTTGAAACAAGGCGATTTCCCGCCGCGAAACTTTACTCTCTGCGTAAATCCTGCGCGATGAAGCTTTAATTCCACCTCGCAAAACATACGATGCGAACATTGTCAAATATACGAGCTTAATTCAGGAGCGTGGTCAGAGTCGAGCGAGCGCAGTAATCCAGGTGGGAAGCAATTTCGGTTCTTCATCAGACTGCCTTATGTACTTAAAACGAAAAGAGGGTTCCGCGTACGGTATTCCCGGCGAGTACGCGTTCTCGTTCTCTTCTGTCATCTCTGTCGTCTTTCCTCTTTCGAGGTGCTTCGTGTGTGTTATACCCTGGCAATTTTTAAACCGTGTCACCGGAGCCTATGTGGCACTTCGAAATATTGCAAGATTGGATTGGTAGGATAGCTAGCTGGTCGTCCTGTACGATTGCAACAAGCAGTTTTCGTTGAACTAAAAGATGGTCAGCGTCGAAGAAACTCGGTAATCCAGGTAAGATGCAACTCAATCTCTTGTATGGGCCCTTAAGGGAATATCAGAAGCAATATCACGACGAGGCTGTCTGGTCTATTAGTTCCAACACTGCTTTTTATAATTTAGAATAAAATTTTATAATTCAGAATAAGTTTGAAAAATAGACGGCATATACAAAAGATGCAAGATTTGTACAGATTTTCTCTTAGTATAAAAGTTCTTTTCTTTTTTCATTAAATAAGTTTTAATATAAATAGATCTTAGTAGTTTAAAGCTTGCTTTAATATGCTTTAATATAAAAAAAGGCACCTTTTCATTGTGAAAATACTTGAAAATTTTTCGGTGACAAATGATGAAAGATCAATTAATTAAGTCAGAAAACGACAATTACTAATAGTATTTTAACTAATAGCATTTTAATTTCAAGCATTCATTTACTATTTACTTTAAAATAATATTTTAATTTCAAACATTCACTAATAGTATTTTAACTTTAAGTGGATCCCTTTTCTCGACAAGACACGACGCACGTGTTAATCACGAATTGCAGATAAGGAAATTCACGACTAATCTGCGAATATTCAACCATACATCACACAGCAGATAACCCTAACTATACAAGAACTACTCGCGCCACGAAGCGGGGAACTGGTCAGGGTCGCGCGAGTCCGCTAACCCAGATAGACGGACGCAGGCTCGCTCCTTCGTGGGGTTGTCTTCGGCATTCGCGTAGAGTGCTGAACGAGGATTCTGTGTTGTTGCGTACTCATCATCCTTTTCTCTCGCGTGTACCACGCATCCGGCTCTCCCTCTCTCTCCGCCGAACTATATCTCCCTTCCTGTTTCGCTGTCTCCCTCGCGCCGCCGCCGTTTCTCTCTTTCTTTCTCCCTGTCGTTCCAGCAACCACCCTCTCGAGCCACCCTCGAAGGCCACCCGCTACCCCACACTGTCTGTCCGCGCACTCGTCCGGGGGTGGCGGTAAGTTCTCGCGCAGCCAGTGCCCGCGCGTCTCTCGCGATCGTCGGACCGCGCGTACGTAAAACGGGGAGGTTCTCGTCGTCGCGTGGATGTTCGCACGCGGTTTCCGGAGCCGGCCGTGACAATTCGCGTGACTCAGTGCCGCAAGTAAACTCGACCGTTATTTCCGGATAGATACAGCGAGAAGTGCGAGGGGACCTGGCGATAGTCATAAGATGTTTCGATTCGTTCGACAATCGAACCAGCCGGCTGCCGCGATCTCGAGAATCTTCAGATGGTGACGGTGATCGAGTGGCGTTCGAAACTTCGCGACAGTTCGTCGTACGAATGATATAGCGTCTTCAGTGTTCTCTGATACCGAGAGTGGATTTTGGTCCCGGAAGGAAGGTTGTGCTTCGATATCTCGTCGGTCGCAGCATCCCGTAGTTTCGTGGCTTTTTGAAGGGTGAAGAGTAATCGGTCGGTCAATATTCCGTCGCGGATCTCCGAGCTGTCACAGGCAAGGCGCGAGGTCTCCGCGAGTCTACCTCCCTTCGAGAATGTAATGACGCGGACGATGATAACGTGATTCAAACGGCGCGAGTTTTATAGTCGCTGCAGTGAAAAGAGAATAAGTGGCGATAAAATCGGGGCGGACAATAAAGCGACTGAAGATATGCAGGCAAGATCAAGATGACTCTATGAAGAAAGTGCGGAGGTGATGGGACGCGTCGGAGATTAAAGGAGACGCATCGAGATGTTGAGGGCGTCGCAACGATCCTGAATTGGATCGAGCAGGTGCAGGAAGTACCTTGTCCCCCAGCGCGAGGATCGCCTATGGCAATCATGTTGTGCAGGACGAGTCTCGTGAGGTGCATCGATACCTTCTACGTCGCGTAGATGAACGTGAGTGTCGCACAAATTGTCGTATCGAGGAAATGAACGGCTTAAGGAACGTATACTTAAGGAAACATGTCCGAAGGGAAGAATATAATTACTTCAATGGATTCCACAGTTAATTTTAAGTGAAGTCATGAAATAGCACCTATCGATGCTTACCTATTCCCATGATCCAAATTTCTTGCATTATCTAAATGAAAATTAGTTGAATCATAAATAACTCAAAGGATTATCAAGATATAGATGATCTAATATTATTATTTCGTAGCATTTTATTTGTATCATAATTTACTAGGATTCTATTACATATAAGTAGAATGTATACTCGTAGAATGTATACTCGTTTAGTTAAATGATTGAGTTACTTTTATATTGTGTTTGTTGAGTTCAATACTAAAATGTCAGTATCTCAATAACTACTGAGCACTGAACTGAACTTTCTATTTAAAAATGGCTTTAGAATCCACGGGTGAAGTATCTACCTTTGCGCCGAATACGCTCGATTCACACATGCACAATGCAATAGTGGTGGTGCGACAGAAAGAACGTATGCGATGTATAGTGTTAACACTGTATCGAGGAGACCAACCTTTATAAATGCTTTTCCTGGTAACGAGCACCCAGGAATATTTCAAAATATTCGAGCACAGCTACAGTCGTAAATACAACGTTAAATAGTGATCCGCATAAGTATTCGCATGATACAAAGGATTTTCAACTCGCGTACATGAAAACGGCCATTACAGATGAATGCGAGATGTATTGAATAATACGTTACTTTTGAATATGTCCGTATTATTACCGTAATTTACGATGTTACTGCACAGTAATTGGTCGTAATCCTCATCTCGAATGGTTAGATTTTTCGCGTATTCTCTGTCGGCAATACATACAATCAATGGAACGCTCCCGATATAACCCCCTTTCATCATTTTTGAAATATGTTTTTAAAAAATACATAGTAAAACATATAACTATATGCTATAAGATGTATGTACTTAATTTCGAATTCGTTCTAACTTAAAGAGCTGATTTCATAATTATTTGCTTGATTTTCTATAAAATATTAAGGTCGTCAGAAGTTGAAAGAAACACAATATGACCATTTTTTCTACACGACAAACGGACAAATGCATTTTTAATAAGCTTTCAAATAAGCACGATTCAATTTTCATAGACATTTGCCGATTATTCATTTAATGATCAGTTCGCGGCTGATCCACGTGGCCTAGAATAATAGATGTCGACGCAGTCGTTAATCATAGTTATCACAACGTTCCAGTGGCATGATTAGGTGTGTTTGCATTGTTCACTATACGATTCAACTTGAAACACGACGATATCCGCAACTGCGAGCGATTTCCGACCGGGTGACAATTAATAAGCATGATAGTGCAACTACTCCCCGTTCCTACCCTCTTTCCTGCTCATTTTTCGTTTCTCACTCTCTTTACAAAGCGTTGCCTTTATATAAAATTCAATTCTGTTTATTAAAACATATTTTTTTCATCGTACACGAGAATATTGTCGATGTTTTTTCTATTTCAATGTTTAAATTGGAACTTTTATTTACTCCGATTATCGTTATTTCCAGCTTCGTATTATGTCACGGCGTTGCATTATAATGCCAAGTCTGTCGTGATTTTCAATATTTCTTAATTTAAAATTTGTTATTATTTCTATAATAGTAGAACATTTTTATTTATCTTTATTTCCTTTTACAATTTGGTGAAAAGAGAATATGACACACTCTGGTGATAAAAAATATTTTATTTTCTAAATATTATTTATTACGTCAACATGGATATCCAGACGTTTATTATATTTATATTTTCATATTTAATATTATTAATAATATTTGCATTGTTTTTAAAATTCGTGTAATGTATTTACATAACAAGCATTTTACGGGGCTTTTACGGATGGAGAAATGTTTACGTATTCTTCATTTAGTGCATAGCTGTAAATAATTTTAAACGTACACAAAAGCCTGACAACTTTCGAAAACAATTTTAATAAAGAATCTGTAAATAATGTGAGTTTAAAGTCAATATTTTGCATATGTAATGTGTTTTGAAAAAGAGGACATTATTGAAGAGGTTTCTACATTTGATATTAAACATTTGCTAATAAATAAAGATTCTAGGGAGTCCTAGATATATATATATATATATATATATATATATATATATATATAGAGAGAGAGAGAGAGAGAGAGAGAGAAAGAGAGAGAGAGAGATAAAGATTAAAGTCCATTTGTTAATGTATCGTAAAAAAGAGTAATGATTGTGTTTTGACAATAAGTCAATAGTTTAATTCATAAAGATATTTCCGCGTAAATATTTTAATCAAAAAGTCCTGAAACATTCTTCATTCGAGACACCTGTTAATTAAAGCTCGCGAATTATTCATTACACTGCAGCGCTTCATTCGTAATTAATTTATTCACGATAACGGAACATATTTTTCTGCGGATACTTTGGTACGCTGCTAATATAATATCACACAATAAATTTAGTTAATTGGAAACCAGAGAGTTCATTGGTAATAAAGTCTTCGTATCGTTATTATCCGCTCGTTATTCCACATCCCGACCCCATACATAGCTTTTGAGAGTTGACCTGTGGTTTTCGCAAAATATTATATGTATTAAGTCAATTACGAGAGAATGAATTCTCGTGTCAAATTTATTTCATATCTCATTAAATAAAGTATAAACAGCGGCACATAAACAGTATTTGCTAAATTAATGCAAAGTCGCGCTTATCCATTTACAACACTATATCGAATTTTTATCGAAGACAAATGTGTTCCACACAGTTTTGAGCGCAGTTCCTTTTGCCAGGCGCGAAGTTGCCGCCCGCAAAGAGTCGTTGAGCTTCTACGTGAGCAAAACTGGGTTTCGTGTGACACCCTGAAGCGTATAACACAGTAACGTTGCGGTAGTAACGATGTTCCTAACTTCTTTTTCACTTTAAGCGTTTTTCGCGCCTTCTTATGACTCGAGTCGCGAGAACGCGGTTAACATCTCATTCTAAAATAATCAAGACAAACGGGACGAAAACGCTCGTCAAATATTTCTGCCCTTCAACCTCGCGGCATGACTTTTTCCAAGTAGTTGCTGAAAAGCGCAACTACGTCTTGGATATTTACAGTTTTGCAGCCCGCACTTGCTTCTAAGCGCTCTACGCAACTGTTCCAGGCGCGATCTTCGTATGTCTCTTTTCCCTTTTCTCTTTGCTAGACTTTTCGCGACTTTTTTATTACGAGTGAAACGAGTGTGACGAGTAGAAAACGTATGTATTTAATTAAAGCCGACATGTCGCTGCCTAAAACAATGTATCTCCGGCTGTTGATGCATTTGCAAGTGTGCGTGTTTAATTATGGGCATACCAGTAAGCTGAAAGAAAAGCTGAAAATGATTGCGACCGCAATCTCGCAAAATCTTATTTGACAGAGGCGAGGAGACGGGAGATTGCAATTTTGCGCTGTCGTAAACTGATACAGCGCGTACACCTTAGCTCGGCGATTAATTTCTTCGTTCTATCTTGACGTCTATCTATCTTGGCGTAACGCTGAATCGCGAAAAACATGTCTCGCGCAAGGGCGAAATTATCGATTAATCATTCGCCATTTCTTCGTTAGACAACCGTTAAATCACGTTCAGCCGCGGCGCATCAACTTTCTTCCCGGATTTCCTCGAATATGGAAGTTATGAAATTCTTGCCGACACCGTCGCGTTATTAATCGCGCGTTCGACCGGCCGACCGCCGTGCGTTCATTTAGGGGAAGGGCGATGTATCGTTGACGCGCGCTGTAGGTTGCATTTTTCCTCCAGGTCGTGGCGGGGAAAGCGCCTCGATAATTTTCCGAAATTTATGACGGTCGCGCGCCCGCTCGCTCGCTCGGAGAGCGAGAGGAAATGAAACGAAAAGGGAAAGGGGGGAGCGGAAGTTGAGGTTCGTTCCGGAACGAAGGATCGTCTTGAGTGTCTTGACTAACCGTTAAACCCTGATTGGTGACTCATTTCTCGTGCAATACATGTCGATTTCGTCTCGGTGCCATTTACTCGGCAACTTCAGGCTGTCGTGGTTTGTATCGTATTGCATCAATCTGCCGCGCGGCATCGTCTACCAGCAGCTCTCCCTCTAGCGACTGTCTCGTAATAAAATCAATTTAGTTAAGCCCCCGCGTGGAAACTGCATACCGTGCAGTAATATCGAAGCCATTTAATAACAACCACTTGGATATCTCAATGACTGTGTTAATAAGCACGATAGCGTTTGTATCCGATTATTGAAACGTTGTAAAACGCATCATGTAAGTGCGCATACATTGAAATTACCGGCAATATTAATGGTAATTGAATAAACTGCTGTGGTGTATCGCCAGAGTGAAAATGATTACATAAACATTTAATCCTCGGGTATTACGCATGTTCCATGCAAATTTTTCGTCGACTTATTATTACTACCGCAGGCATCAACTTTAAACGCAAAAGACGTTCAGAGAGAAGCGCGTCGGGAGAGCCGTGCATATCACGCGGAGATGATTTGAAAATTTTCAATAACAAACGGAATCCACAGGTTGTAGATTAATCAACGGGATTAGTTGTGCCAGAATTGAGGTATAAAAGACGCAACTGAACTGCTTCTCGGAGCTGCTTTGGTTGCTTTGAAGAGGATCACAGTCGTGTGCTGTAATGAGTTGTCAGAAGTGCTTCTATCCGAAGACTCTAAAATGCAGTACATGTAACTAAAGAGTCTCGTAAAACTGAATGACTCCGGAAAAAGAGGGGAAAGAAAATAGTCCCTATTTAGAATTACAGTCGCCAGTGTTCCTTTACGATCCGAGACGCGCCCTTTCCTAAGGGTTAATCTCTCTTTCTATCGTAAATCCGATAAAGAGGAGGAACAGTTTTTATTGACGATAAAGCGCACTTGAAATGTTAGTCACCGCCGCGAGACGTGCTATATCGCCTCCGCGTATCATCTCTCTGTCGTGCGTTTTATTGATTAAACCGCGCTCCAATTCTTATTGTCGTTTGAAACAAATGCGTCAATGGGAATAAACGCGAATCAGCAAATTTCGTTCGTGGAATTTGTATGTGCGTGCGATCATATGTCCAAGGAAACCCGCGACATTGAAAATGTCACATCATTTGAAATGTCGTGTCACTTCTTAAACAATACACTCAATACTGAGAGATAAAATATCTAAAAAATAAAGAAGTATTTATTCAGCTACTAGCACACATATTCAGCTAAATCTAAATTCTTCTATATAAAAGGAATAAACAATTGCTTTGATGAGAAGTTAAGATTTCAAGAAAATATATATTTTCTTATAAGAAAAGTATCTTATATTAATATAAATAAATACTTTATTCGTGCTTACGTATAATGAATAAATATTTTCTAAATATTTTTCCTCTCGGTATACAATGTCGATAAAAATGGCGCAGTACAATATTTTTCTAAACAACGCTTGCTGTGAGTTTCACTTCCTACATTTAAAATTCCAAGAACGTTGCTCACACACGCGGGATCTCTCTCGCCATAATGTTTTCTTATCGTCCAACTTTCCGCATTCTAATATTTGAGAAAAAAAGATGCGCATAATTCCGAGGTGTCGCACGTTGGATACATTTTAAAGAAGGTGAACTCGCCGTGGCGACTTCGCTTGTAAGGGGTAAAAGGTCGCCGGGAATCATGGCGAGGGTTAAGCCAGCTGGAAAACGAATGCCGTAAGAAGTCATCGACGGGGGAAAAAGAAAAACTGGCTGGAGAAAGCCGTCCCGACGCAACGGGTACACCTACGCAATCAAGCGGCGCGCTTAGAACGGCCGCTCGGCAAACAAACACGACGGGAGGTAAAGTTACCCCCTGCTAAATTGGGTTAGCTGAAATCCGTTTACGCTAACTCTAATGGCGAAAGCGTGAGCCGCATGCGGCATCGACACCGAACTTCGACATCCGGTGAGAACCGTTGCGCGCGAGAGCAACTCGATGCACGACGGCGTTTATTCTCCTTCCGATCAATTTTTTCACTGTCAAGCGACGTTTGAGAAATATTACCAACAGCTCGCTCGCTTATTGATTGATTCGATTCAGTTTCGGATCGCGTACCACGCGGCAGACGCGGCGGCGGCGTTGCACAATGTAGGGAAACCTGAGATGAAACATCGATGTATGCCGATGATACGAAGGAACTTTTAATTTTAAAGCCAATGACAACTGATATCGATACAATTGATTAAACACGGGCAATTAGCTTTGCATTTGTGTGGCGCGCCGGTAATTTGTAACGTACAATCGAGGCGTCGCATTTCACGTCATTTGAACCTGAATGAGGTGACGGAACATTACATTATCTATCGGCAGATAATAGCGCGATTAAATTTGCCCCGTTAATGATTAGTTAATGGTTAATAATTAGTGGTCGCAGAATAACTTTTATCAGTATAACCATATAAATATATTAGTGTTGCGGAATAAGATAATTGCATAAATAATAAATAATTCGATGTTCATTTGGCGTATTTATCGATATACGACATTAACAATATTACCAGATTGTTAATAAAGTATTAAATATCGCAGTTAATGCACGTAGCATCAACAAGAGTAAAAAATTTACAGTGACAGCTGCTATGGGAGAAGTTTATGTCGCTTCGTATCGTAAATTTATGGTACATTGCAAAGGCATACCTGTTTCATAAGGCAAAAATGTAAGAAGAATTACGCAACAGCGTCAAATATTATCTTATATGTTAAAAGTACGAAGCAAAAATAATTTATATATTATTTAGGGAAGATGGTTCTTTTTTTGGAAAATTGGGAACACGCTATGAGAGATCATCAGTAAATGCTAATGTGTAATGTTATTCGGATACTATCCTTATCAATATCAATAGGAAATAAAATAATAAATGTTCATATTTAAAAAAAATATATATACAATATAAAATCAAAATTTCGAAAACTCTCTGGACGTCAGGTACTTCATGATGGAAATTGCGGCAAACCTTGTAGTTTGTTTCGCGAAATGTCATTGAGGTCGAGCGAGTTCCTGTCGACGTGCCACGCGCCGACGAAGTTTACTCTGATTCAACTACATTTTTTGTCGTAACGTAGTTTTAAGTGCGAACTCTATCTGTCGTGTAGCGACCGAGGTACCAGGACAGGTCGCGCGAACGCCACGAGATAGAATCAGGCCGAGAACATTATCACGGCGGGACCGAAAACTCCATCCCGGAACCGCTTCGGAAATAAAGGAGGAGAGAGAGAGAGAGAGAGACTCTCCCTCTCTCTTTCTCTCTCTCTCCCTTTTTCTCTCTCCTTTAGTATCTTCTACGGAACGGTAGCCGTATCTACCGGAGAGAGCAGGTTAAAGGTCGAACTCCTTTTTTCCATCTCCCCCTCGGAAAATGCACCGTCGGGAATAGAGAACCGTGGGCCCTACGCGATTTCACTCTAGAGACCGTAGTGGTTTGCCTTTTCTCGCCTTCTTCGCGAGAGGTCGAGTCAAAATAAAACCAAACCGGACCGTAATTCCAGCGACGTTGATGCGCAGCTGAGGTAACCGCATTAAAAAAAAATGTGAAGTAGCGTTGTTCGAGATTTTTTCAGATTGCAACTCCCCCTCCTTTTAGGGTGTAGGAAGGCATTAACGTGCGCGATATACACGTGACATTACCGTGCCGCAACATTACCCGCAGCAATTTCTCTTCCTCTCTATCTACGGCAGTTACCTTAATTTTACTTACAAATTTTATCTAGAATTTATAAAATATACTCTTCTTTACGTCCCGTGTATACGCGTACGGATCCGGAAGTAAGCACTTGCGAACGAAACTTTTAGTAGTTTGAACGTTTAAACATTTATCCGCTTTTAACGGAATCGCGTATTTTCGCTACAACGCTCGCAATACAAAGTTCATTCCGCCCCTTTCCGATCTCCTCGGACTTCTTTTCTTCCCGTCAAAAAGAATATCCTCTTGCGCAATCCCATGATCTTCTTTCACACTTTCTGCTTCGATATTGCATTGCAAGTCTCTTCTTTCTATTTTCAGATCGAGACCACGCGAAGGATGACGGCCGTCTAAGAATCCTCTCCGATGTGCGACCAGCGTTTTTGAGGATGTGCAGTTTGGTGTTAAAGTGCCGGTGAACGGAGCGACCTACTCGCGTACTTATGATTCCCTTCCCTTTCCATTATCGCGCTTCATCTCACGGCGAGCCCGCGCTAACGATGCCATAGTCGCCCAAGTGCGAACTGATTTCACGACGGACACAATGGCACTGTTGTTCGCCATAATCGTTATTTCAATCACCACTGCCATGTCGCTGCCGCCGGTCATTAGAATCGGTGAGTCCATATCGATCCAATTTGTTACCTTCGAGTTCAACTATGCATGAGACGCTGCATTACAATTAGACAAATTAGTTCGCCTATCCGCTACGCGTGACAGCTTTTTACGTGTAAAGACCTGATCTGATAATTTATTAATGAATCAATTTTCTACCGCGTGAAATAGTAACTGGAGGTTGCCTCATTGTTTATTCTACGATATACTGCATGGTAATGCAGTTTCACGAAACAATGCTTCGCACGGAATTTCTGATTGAACAGTTGAATTCCTGGCCGACGAAGTTGCACAGTTGGAATTAGTCTGCAAGTACGCGTCATCAATGTTTCAAAGTTATTTCAGGATCAAGGAGAGCGATCGAGCAAAGCGTTAGGTTTCCAGTTATAAACTAAAATGACCGACGAGAAAATCTATATCCTTTTAAATACGAAAAATTTCTGTTGACGTTTCTACTGACGATATTTCAGCTTTCCTTCTTTTTCCGTCGTGCTCCGGAGAATAATTGAATTAAAATCCGTTATAGATCGGTGCGTAACATAGGCTTTTAAGCTTCAAAACTATTTTCGCGAATAAAGCCGTGTGTAACATGAGATGTTTTCGCCTCTGCCGACATTTTCTCATGACTTATGGTTTTCCGCGCACACCGTTATTCACAGAGCGCTGGTGCACAAATATCGAGGCATATACTATGCATAATTCACTCGTGGCTCGTCAATTAGCTTGGTCACTCACGCGAAATCGTCCAATTCAACGATACATGCTTGCGGAAAGATTTCCATGGCGGTCGGTGTTTGACAGGGCGATTTACTGTTTACCAATTGATGGACTTCACGTCAATTAGCAAATGAGCAAGTTGCGCGATTCCATGCAGCTCGCAAGTCCGACAAGTAAACATGAATATAAACTATGACATGGATCATACATTTAAATATTTTAGAACACAATTACTTCGTTAAGCCAATGCATCCCCCGTCATTGTCGAAGATACTATGTTCCCTGATTACATGAGATAAAAATATCTGCAAAAGTCTCGTCAGAATTACTCTTCAATCATTACACCGCAGTCTTGAAATTCAATCAGTTTGCGAAACAGTGCTGAGAAATATTACAGTTGCACTTTCGAGATGACGTTTGGACATGGCGTTTACTTCTCACCGCTCATATCTCGGCAAGGAATCGTCTGATATTCATAGCTAAAGCACCCTATTGGTACGATCACTTCCCACATTTTCGCGCGCTGCTGAGACATGAGCGGCAAGGAGAGAATAATGGGCGTGACACGCCAAAATTGCCTCGAAAGCGCAGCTAATTTCCCGCGCTGTCGTAGAACAACGATAATTTCCAAGTCCTTCTCGCGTATCGGGTACCCAATTTGCCGCGAACGGCAACTCGCTCGCTCACCCACAAGTCAGTCAGTCAGGAAGTCAGTCAGAATTCGATCACGGTGCGCAGGATCGACTTTTTTCCTTTTCCCGGGGCAAAGTCCATGCGCAACTCGTCCAACTTTATGCCAGGTGATTACATACCCCCGCCCGGTAAGTCGATGTGCGCGGTTTGGAATTACAGAGTACGTCGCTAAGTACGCGGGATCGAATCTTCACCTGTTACCGTGCGCGACTTCATCAGTATGGGTTCATTAGTATTCCGATGGCGCTTGCGTGGGGGTAGAGCAGACGTGTCCGTGCGTCGGATACCGGGCTCCGACTTCGGCCGTGTGTATCACCCTCCACCCACCCACCCATCAACCCATACACATCCAGGATGCGAGAGCAGCTCGAGGCTACTCGTCGGTTAAGTCTGGCGGTAGGAAAGTTTCCGTCGATCTAATTGGTTGAATTTCTGTGGGGCAACCGCCTCGAGGGAAACTTGTCCGCAATTTCCCATGATGTTGGTGAGAATGAAGAGGGTGATAAGACGAACGTGTTTGAGAGCGAGAGACAGAGAGACAAAGAAAGAGAAAAAAGAAATAGAGAAAGAGAGAGAAAGAATCCGCGAGTATCCGCGTATACGAGACGAATGTGCGACCAAAAGAAGATAAGGCGTTCCCAAAGGACGTGGAGGACCCTTTCACATCAGCAAGAAACGACGGCACCGAGACTACGAGGAAAATACGGAGGATATCACGTATTCATGTCCGTGCACGGTAATGTTTTTCGTATTCCGTCACGTAATTGAAATATCTGTTGCTCATACGGAAGCGCCGGACGCGTGACGCGACGAAATGCGAATGAGGATACGACGATGACCGATCGCGAATGACAGACCCGCGGGAACATACCCGAGGAAGATATGAATTCTCTTCCTGATTACACGCGCGTCAAATTCGTAGATTATTTTATTTCGTAACGGGAGAACGAGAACACGTTCTCGCGATATTGCAATCTCGAAGACGAAAGTCGCGCCAGGTCGCCGTGCAGTGTAACAATACAATTGCGAGGCGCGAGGCAAAATATTCGCCACATCGTCGCATCTTTCAACGACACAGAAGCGGAGTGGATTTCAAGATGATTAATTTTCTTCGCGCTAGCATTTTCCGCGTTTTCCCGCTGACATTCAAGCTAAAGCTTCCACACGGGCTTGTTGTAAGCCGAGTAAAATGAGATGGGCGAGTTTCTTATTTTTCAGGATTTTTATCGCGCTGAGAGATTTACTATCTCGTACGGGGCATTTAATTGACAGAATAATATAATAAAAACTTCATGATTCCAACGTTCTTTCATAAATGTCATATGAAATGGTTGTTTTTAAGAAGCTACCGGAACACTCGTTTCCATAATTAGCAAAATGAAGACGCGACTTAATTAACGTATTTGCAAGCAACGGGCTGTTAATAGCTCGTTCTGTATTATAAAATATGTATGGAAGTTACAATACGTTCCATTAACGCAATGTTTTCCGTTGTTAGCGATTCGTTTCAAAATTGGAAAATAGATAAATACAATTTATTATCGTTAATCTCTTGCGATAATCACCCATATGTGTCCTTTACCGAGATCATGTTTCAGCCGCGTTAAACAGTAGCTGGCCCAAAACGCACGCGAAAATTACGACGAACGGTGTTTTGATTTTTGGAGTTATTGTGTAATATTATTAGTAACTAATAATCATATCGCCCGTAGGTTCGCGTGCGCAACTTTACACGATAATCATCTCAATATTATTTTGAAACAGCTGCAACTCGTCATTAATCTACGCGGAAAACAGGCATTATGTGTGCCAAAGAGAAAGACCGGCTATTATTACGAAAATGGAGCTCGCTGGAAATTATTACGCGATCGATATTCACGGCGTGAATTTCCACGTCGAGCGCGTGTTATGCGTTCTCATTCCGCCCTCAAAATGTAAGTCCTCCCACGTTGAGAATGGACGTCAGTGATAGACACCGTCGTAAATTTTATCATTCGCACACTCACGCATCTACACGCGCTGCGTGTGCACGTGATGTCCGATACCTGCCGTTGACGATATCGTCGTTATTAAACAACGCAACGTCCGGAATCGGAACGAGAGGACATCTACTTCCAACGTCGTCGTTGTGCGCAGTAAATAAGAGTACACGGACGCACATCGGGTGTATCAGCCCGCAATGTCGGCCACCGGACCGTCGCTTGTAACATTCGCATTTCCGCAGAGAGTTTCATTGTGTGTAATTTTATGGACGGCACAGGATGTATATGCGGCGAGAGCGGATTAACGTAATTCGTAACGGCAGAGCGGGGCAAGGTGGTAAAAGGAAAAGATTACGAGAACGAATATTCGATCAAGATATCCTTAGCAAACACCGCGCTGGAAACGATGAGACTATAAATGCAGTCGCTCTCATATTCCGCGCCACGAAAACGACGAGCTGTTTTGTGCATACAATGCCACTCTCTTTCTCTCTCTTGAGGATATATTACCTCAAAAATAATGAAAAGATTTTGGAAAAATTGGAGATTAATCTATATTGATCTAGAAGTGATCACAAAATACTTGACACTGACTCAGAGTTTGGATCAAAAGTTATTCCACTTTGAAGTGTAAACTTATTATGCTGACGCCAAATAACATACGCATAAATGATGTTTCTAACATTGGTAATACATTATTAATACGGGATTTTACGTCATCCTGTTACTTGGAAATATATTAAGCTATGTTGTTACGGAAATATATGATGCTGCTATTGTTGATAAAGAGGAAAAAATATAATTAAAATATAATAACAGAAATCTCTCAATTTCTTTATATACACACATGTACCTTAAGTATTCAAAATGATGTATGCAAGGTTTCATAGTTCAGAAATAAAAGTTTAAAAAAGTTAGAGAAATAATATAAAATAAAGAGAGAGTTTCTTTACTGATATAAAATAATATGAAATAAAATTCTCTCTTTTTCTCTTTGCGGGAGCAATACATCCTGTGAGTAAGAAAATGGTCCTAATTATTGTTCATTTAGAATAACTTTAAATTAGAATAACTTTCAATAATTTACATGAATTTATCGATTAAATACCAATGATAAAAGACTAAGATATATAAAAACTTTTAAAAAATTTTTACATGTTTTCGTCATAATATGTATTTTTTTTAATACATCAATAAATAAATTAAGCTTGATCCAAAATTGAGATTCGGGCCATAATTGGGACCTTCAGCTATTTCAGTTGAATATAACAAATCACACGACACAATGAGTATTCAACTTCACCGATTAATAATTTCTTCTTTCTTAATATACGTATAATATTCGTTGGATGTATTGCCACGTTGGAAGTTTTATAGAGAATTTTAGAGTGACGACACATTTGTACGCACAATATCATGCTAAATGCAAACATTTTTACGATGCGAGAAATTCCATGAAATTTCAAGTACATTCAAGAATAAGAGCTTTAGAAAATAACGCGGGAGAGACGTGAGGTTGCAATACCGCAGCCACTTTTTCCTCCCATTGTTATCCGACGTATATACAAAGCGTGCATTCTCCAAATGCAAGTTCATGAATCGCCGCGAGT